CCTGGAATAAGAAGTTTACACACACTCTTCCCTCTGCCTGAAATGCTCTCATCTTCTCCTCAGAATCCAGCTAACACACCTTCATCCTTCAAATTTCGACTCAGACCTTCCTTTTATAGGAACGATGTCCCTGACCCTCTTTCACAGAACTGAGGGTGGTGCCCATGCCTGTTTGTGTCCATTGGTGTAGAATCTCTAGCACTTGTCATATAGTGCTGAGTGAATGTGTCTGCTATACATTTTACTTAGCAGTTCTCAAATGATAAAAACAAACTGTGATCATTTTCAAGAAGCAGTTCTTGACTTTAGTGAACAGCAAAGTACTTTACCAAGATGGTCCACTTGTATTACTCCCAAAGGAATAGCTATTAGAAACTGAAGGAAATAATAGGACAAGTTAACATAAGGGCTAGTGACTATTTACAATAGCCACGTCATGGAAGCAACCTAAATGTCCATCAACAGACAAATGGATAAAGAAGATATGGTACATATATACAATGGAATATTACTCAGCCATGAAAAGGAATGAAATTGGGTTATTTGTAGAGACATGGATGGACTTAGAGACTGTCATACAGAGTAAAGTTAAGTCAGAAAGAGAAAATCAAATATTCCATATATGTGGAATCTAGAAAAATAGTACAGATGAACCAGTTTGCAAGGCAGAAATAGAGACACAGATATAGAGAACAAGCACATGGACACCAAGGGGGAAAAGTAGGGGGGGTGGGGGGTGGGATGAATTGGGAGATTGGGATTGACATGTATACATTAATATGTATAAAATAGATAACTAATAAAAAATCTGGTGATAGTGTTATTTCAAGTGCAATAATTTTAAGAAAGGAAAGTGTTCAGCTAATAAACATTACAATAGGCAAAAAGAAAAAAAAAAACGTAAGGGCTAGTGATTGTAACAATAGCACAAGCAAGATTTTTGCATCTTAAAATCTCAAATGATGAAAGCCCAGGGGATTAATCTAAAGTTTGTTTGGGTGTGTATATATATACAAATATATATTAGTATGTATATAAATAGATTATACAGAGAGATAGCATAGACACAGTAATGAAATTATTTTATAATAAGAGAGTCTAGAAAGTTTGATAAAAGGTGCCAGAAGAGTTGTGTCAGTCTCATAGTATTCTCAACAAAAACTGACCAAAGATATACCCTGCTATGTTATAAAATAAGAGCTTAATTCATTTATTAAAAAGTTATAGAAAATTATATCATAAAAACAGTTGTTTTGACTGGGAAAAAAGTATTGATATTATGTGGGGGAGGGGACTATAGAGTTTTAGATTCTCAATTGGAAGTTATTTTTCTAGAGTAATTTTTATAGTAAAGTTGATTTTAAGAACTATAAACTATATTTGTTGTGAAGTCAAAATAATGAAGAAAGAGCTTAATCAGAAATGACAGAATTAAACTTTAAGTCTCAAAAGATCCGGTTTCTTTATCTCCATTGACCCATTGACTTTGCAGTTTTCCAACATAGTAGCTACAGTACTAACATTTAATTTAAAAAACAAAAACAGAGAACAGATATCAACCAGGCCCTGAAACCAGGCAGCAGTGCGCTCCTGCATCTTGTCAATAGCTGCATTTTCCTTATTCCCAGAGAGCTTGTTCCTTATTGCACCATAACCAGTAGCTGTCTGTGACATGCAGTCATAATTTCTACTCAGTTGAGCAAATTATGGTCACCTAGAATGCAGAAGAAATGCCTGGGGTTCAATTCACTTTTATTGTAGTTATAAACTGGTGTGTAAATTACCAAGAAATCTGACACCAACATCCTTAGACTTAGAAATCCCTAACTTCCATGTCATCTTTTTCCCTTCTGCCTCTTCTTCCCCATTCCAAGAAACCTAAGTCTTAGGAAATTAGTTTGGCTGCACACAGAACCCGACTTACAGCTGTCATACCTGCCTAGTTTTGTCTTTATGATCGTCTTTATTGTAAATGAGCCCCACCCCCAAGAAGCATCCAAACTCATGCTTATAAGCTCTGAATGATGAGAAACTAAACTGCAGTGGATTGGCAAGCCCGATGAAGCCGTGGCTCAGGGGTGGTGAAGGACATCTGCCTCACATTAGCGTTCTCTGTTCTTTTCTCCTCCGTTGGCAGTAACACTTGGCACCAGTTCATTAAGATAGTTTACCAGTTCCAGAACACGTGCTGGGAAGACTGCCTGAACAAGAAAGACAGGTGCCTTGTCTCCATAGAGGTGACATGCTAGTAGGAGGCGGCAAGCACAGAACATGCCCACCAGTCAATGAGCAAAAGCACAGAATGAGTGAATGCCATGAAGGAAAGCAAGAGGGCGAGGAGACGGACAGTCACTGGGAGAGTACACTCAAGCGGGGATGGTCAGGAAAGGCCTCTCTGAGTAGTGACATCTGAGCTGTCAGCCAGTGAGACTCACCCACGTGTCACAGACAGAGGGGCAGGCCCTCTGGGCAGCGGTTAAACCTGGAAACAGGAAAATGATGTCACATGTTTGAGGGAGAGAAAGGCAGTCAGTATTCCTGGAATAGGAGTTGGTATTATAAGATGAGTTTGGAAAGGCAAGCAGAAGCCAGATCATGCCGAGCCTTGGAAAATATGATAAAGAATTGTAATTCCATGCTGAGAAAATAGGAGCCTGTGAAGATTGTAAGTGTGAGTCAGAAAACTTGAATTTAAGTCCTGTTGCTCCTAGTAACTAGCAATTCAGTTTCTGCTGCATCAGTGAAGTCTCTGAGCCTCGATTTCATTATGTG